TAGTTAGGGTTTGTTCCTTATGTGTCCATTAAAATAATGAATGTTGTCATGGGTGTATGTTCCTATTAGTGGGTGGTTGCCTATATATGGTGTTGGTCTGATTGTGTAGGTGTGGGTGACTGAATGACTTGCTGTTTAATTTTATGTTTTATGTGTTCATTGTAGAGATTAGTGTGTGTATGTACACATTAGCTTTGTCATGGTTACTGCAAGAAGACACATTCTTGTGTGTAACTGATCAGTGTCCTTATTTTATATCTTCTTTCTTCCCCCCTCTCTCTTTCTTTCTTTCTCTCTCTTTAGATTAAATGATTTAAATGATCATTCAAAGGTTTGTTCATCTAAACTGAAGTCAACTTCTCCCTCTCCTCCAACACATAGCCCAAAGCAACAAAGGAAATTACAATCAAGGTGACTAAAAATTAATATTGAATTTGTACATTGTGACAAATAAAATATTATACTATTGCCTTCATCATTTACCCTCCATTTTCCTTTCTCTCTCTCTTCCACCCTCCCTCTCTTTATTTCAGAGGTTCATCTCCAAAGATCCAGTCAGAGAAGCGTTCCTCATCACTAATAGTTAATGTCACTCGCACTCCAACAGCTGCTACTGATCTTGCTCCCTTTAAAGTCGTCACTTGGACCAACATGACCTCTCAGTTCTCCTCAGAGTCCTACGAGGTGTACAGGAGCGCCGGGGACTTTCAATGGCTTCATGACGTACTCCAGGATAACTGCCCAGAGAGAGCAGTGCCTCCACTTAGGACAACCATATCTCTTGATGGTAAGACTATACTACTATACTAATGTAATGATGGTGTGTACATGTGTATAAGCTATAGATGTACAATGTACATGTTATAATGATCTATGACCTCAGTAATAATAAGCTTTTATTTGATGTGTGTACATGTATGTGTATTTTGTGCAGTAAGAGTTTAAGGATGCTTTTACTAGGCTGGACCTGTTTGTGTAGAGTGTGTGTGTGTTTGTCAGACATTCATTGAGTTTATTGGGCTACTCATTCATATAATTGGAGCTGTTTATTATGTTATTTCATTATCCTACATTAATAATGTACACGTACATGTACACAGTACATAATGAGATGGTGATATTTATTTGATTGCATTGTCTAGAGTATTTCATTATAGTTCATTATAGTTCATTATAATGAGGATAGTTATGTCTGCTAGTTAGTGCATGGTGAATCAGTTACTAGTGACAACTATTGTAGCAGTGAGAGAATCACTGGGGATATATTGTGTATCTTAACAATAAATAATAATGTTTATAATATTGTAATCATTAGTATAATGGAAGAAATTATTTTAATGAACATGCACTGTATACAGTATAGCTGGCAATGGCATACTTGACTTACTTGTGTCAGTAAATGGTGGACTTGTGCTGATAGTTGATTGACACAAAATAATTATAATATAATTGTAAATGATATTTTGTCTTTCAGTTTAAGTACATTTACTGTGTTGTACTCTCCCTTTATAATTGTTATTTTTGTTTAAGTTCTTAATCACTAACTGTCATTAGTTACTGGTCATAATACATTTGTTCTTTCACACAAAGCATTCATCTCTTCTCTCAATTTATTCTCTCCCTCTTCTCCTCCTGTAGCGACAGTGTCAGAGTATCAAAGGTTCTTGTCTCGTCTTGTGGCACACAAAACCCTCCGAACTGAGCAATCTTTCATTGTATTCCTAACTGGAACAATTGAAGTAAGAAATGAACCTATTAATATCATATTACTGTGAGACAAAGCTACAGTAAAATTGGACCTATTTACATAAATACTGCCATATAAAAGTACAACAAAGTAATACAGCATTAGATTACAATGCAGTGT